ACCAACCTGGAGATTCTCCCCCACCCTTCACTAAAAATGCACATGAGACATTCTTGTAAATTCATACATGTATGGGGCCAGAAGCCACATTCTGAAAAAAGGCAGAACTAGAATAAAAAGAGAGAGTTAATATTCACTGAATCGATCATTACTTTTCAAAAGGAATTGCCAGTAAAATAAGGCATTTATAAAATTAATTAATCCTCCACTGCCTTACCCATATATTATTCTCTCTCATGCACATACACCTAGAAATACAGCAGAAGTGTGTGCCATAAAACAAGAAGATATGGGATCAAGAGTAGATGGACAGCAGTGGTTGTAACAAGCCACAATGATGTCCACCTGATGACAATACAGGTGTTGTGATGTCATTGCATAGATGATGGGCTATGTAATGACATCATGGCATCTGATGAAAATACAAAAGTCATGGCATTTGCGTAATTATGTGATGATACACATGCCATCATTTGCCCTCTGTCCCAGAACACCAGTGTGGATGGGTCCTAAAGGAAGGTGGACTGAATGCAGAAATGAATGGCCAATATGAAACAAATACGTTGAGGTGATTTGGTCACTTAGAGAGAATGAATGTGGATCAAAAAGCAAAACAAATATATTGTCAGCCCACCAAAGTAGTCTAGACAAGAAGCACACCCAGGAGTTCTAGCTCTATCTTTATTGTAAGGTTACATTAACAGTCTTGCAAGTCTGAAAGGGCATCTCTCGCCCCTCACCTTTACAGTTCAAGAAACTAGGGAGGGTCCCTTCTGAGATGTTTGCCACATCCCCATTCCTTCTGCAGGCTCAGCTGCCTCTTATCTGACCGTTGCCTAGTCTGCGGCTCTTCCTCTGTCTCCCAAGGTCATTCCCACATACCATTATATATATAAATAAAAAGTCAGTGGGTCAAGAGGAAGGTGAAAATTGAGAAAAGGTGATTGGATGGAATTGATGACATCTTCCAAAAGAGATAGGTAAGAGGAATAAAGAACAAAAGGAAATGTATGGAACTCTGCATGGAAGTGGTGAAAGCAAAGATGGTTTTCAAGGACAGAAAGATATGGAGTGATGCAGTGAATGCTGTTGGTATAAATATAGATTTAACTCTACATTTCTTTTTTCCTCTGCCTTTCTGCATTTAATCACTTTGCTTACTGTGTTTTACTTCTTTGTGCCCCTGGAATGGTGATAATGGAAGAAGCAGGATGAGTTTTGGAAAAGTTTGTGCAACATTCTGAATGAATTTGGATTGGGGGGACAAGGGGAATTTTCTGTTAAGATTAGGATTTGGGTTATTCCTTTTCTGCACTCTGCTTAATGTTACTTACCCCAAAAGGGAATAGCGTGGTGGGTATATATGTATGCAAGTTGCATTTGGACCTTCAAAGGCTACAGTAAAAATGTTGAAATATATGTTAAGAAATTTAAGGCTGCTATTCTGTATGCACTTCTGTAGGAAGCAAGTTTCACTGAACATATGGCCTTATTTCTGAGTAAGCAAAGGAGTCTGCTCTTAATCTATTAAAATAATTCATAACCCCTTAAATAAGTCACTGTCTGTTTTATAAGCTGTCCTCTTCCAAGCATAGATTCCTTATTATATTCCTGTGATGTTTGACATATAAGAAAATAACCTGACTGCAGCTTAAATTATTAACTGTGTTTCCCCCTTTAAACATACATATGTGTATAAGTGCACGTTACATAGCTTTATAAATTATACTTTCAGCAAGCAAGTAGAATAAATCTTAGGATAGAATGGGGAAATAATTGAGTTGGTGATTAGAATGGAAAGGTGAACTGTAGAGTTTGGAAGAAATTGGCAAGCAATTGACAAGGACTAAGTTGAAAGAGTTTGCCTTTGAACACATTAGAGGGGAATCTTCTGGATCACCTACCAGAACTTGGGTTCCAAATGAAGTCTTCCTTTCTAATTTCAGTTGAAGACCTTTCTTAAAAGACTGGGCTACAAAAAGTATGCAACCTTTCCTGGAAAAGTAGCTTAGAATACAAACTATCTCCCACTCAACTCTATCATCCCAGTGGTTGAAAATTGCAAATAAATACAAGTAGTCCTTGTTTATCATCCATTCGTTCAATGACTGTTCAAAGTTACAGTGGTGCTGAATGAAGGGACAGATGATGGGTCCTCGAAGTTCTGGCCATTGCACCACCCCCACAGTAACATAAACAAAATTCAGGCACTTGGCAACCAGCTCGCACTTATGACTGGTTGCAGTGTCCCGAGGTCACGTGATTGCCATTTGCGACCTTCCTTGCCAGCTTTCCACAAGCAAAGTCAATGGGGAAGCTGGCAGGGAAGGTTGCAAGTCACTTGGATAAGTGTCCCCCACCCACCCCTGGCCTTTCTTCACTGACACACATCATGGCCTCCTTCCCCTTCACTCACATGCACCATGCCCTCCTTCCCCTCCACCCTCCATGTGCTTGCACTGTTCTGTGGCACCCGCCTCCCCCAACTTGTGTGCAGCTTCCACCGGGCCTCCCAGGGCTTCCCCCTCCCCTCGTGACACCCTGTACTCCTTACCTGGGACTCCTACTGCTTCCCACTTAATGACCTGCACGTCTCAAGGTCATGACAGCAACCAGGACTGCCTGTATTGCTGTCGCTAAGTGATGTGGTCACTTTCCAATTGCACTGCTTAGCAGCGGCAATCCTAGTCCCAATTGCCATCATAACTCAAGGACTACCTGTACAATGGTAGAAGCTGGTGATTTGTGGGGCTGTGAAAAACCTTCCAAAGGAACTGTTCACTGCAGCTCCATCCTCCTGGAAGTCTTAGTGTGACTGCTTGGAAGATTTTCTCTGATTGTTCTCCATTTGTTTGTCTACCCACACCCATTTCACTAGTGGTCCCGGTGGATATATGATCTGGGCCCGTAAAGACAACTAGAAAAAGCTTTTGAAGCAAGTCTGCCAACTTTTCCAAAGAACGCACTGTTTAAATGCTTTGAGGAATGGTGGCTTCACCTGGGCCAGCATAAAAACATGTAGAGCTGGTTTGGGAGAAAGTATGACAGACCCTTTAAGGGAAGACTTCCAGAAAAGATTTCACAGTCCTGAGAAAGTGGGAAACATGACAAAGACACTCCAAAACAAAAAACAAAAACCAACCCCCCATAGTTTTGTTTAATACAAGATGAGACAGGAAAAACTCAGCAGACTTTCAAGACTCTTTTATTGTACTGTAATACAATAAAGAATGTTTCTGGAATACCTCAAGCTCTGACAATTAGTGCACTTTGCAGTATGGCCTTTTCCACATTTTCAACCACCATAATGCTTTGCCTCCTTCCTCCCTCCCTTTTAAAAATCAAGTGAAACAGGGGACTTCAGAAATAGTCTCTCAGGGCACATCAGTACCCAGTAACCCAGCATTATGCTTTGATGGGCTTTGGTGCTTCATTCTAGTACTGGACTCAGAGCTCCTGTTTGAAAGGGCAAGTAGAAGCCATGGCCAGGAAGGTTTTGCCCAGCTTAGTTATGGCAGGAAGCCCTGAAGAAGGTCATTCTGGCCTCTGTCATCTGGTAACTGGATTGCTATAATTTGTTCCACATGGAAGTACCCTTGAAGGCCACCCATAAATTCACCTGGAATGAAATGTAGCAACTCCATATGATAACAGGAAAGTCTGATTACTGCCATGTAACACTACTGCTATAGGAGCTCTACTGGTTGCCAGTTTGTTTCTCAATGCAATTCAAAGTTATTTATTTATTTATTTATTTATTTATTTATTTATTTATTATTTAATTTGTCATCCCCCCCCCCACCCATCTCCCCCTGATGGGGGACTCTGGGCAGCTCACAACACGCTAAAAAAATAAATATACAATTAAAACCTATAACAAT